AATGTGTGCGTGTGGTATATGCATGCGGGTAAGGGTGTCTTCGTCACTCTTCTCCACTTTTAATTTTTTTTTTTTTTGAGGCAGGGTCTCATGTAGTCCAGGCTGGCCTTGAACTCCCTAGGTAGCTGAGGATAACTTTGCACTCCTAATCCTCCTGTCTCCATCTCCCAAATGCTGGGATTATAGGTATGCACTACCACACCTGGCTTCACGGCCTTCTTAGAAGGTACTAGTCATTGAATTCAGCCTGTTCTGATTTGACCTTTAACAATATCTTCACAAACCCCATTTCCAAATAAGGTCACCTGAGGTTCTGAGTAGACATGAATTTTGGAGGAACACTAAACCACTATAAGGAGTGTGGACTCTGGTACATTCTTGGGGTTTAAGACCTGATCATGGAACAGGAAAGGTGGGTAGAATTGGCTCCAAAGACAGTGGAGACAGGAAATAGGACTTCAGAAGAAATCAGAAGTAGAAGACACAAGAATAACACGATCTCCCATAAAATGGACATTTTCTTTCCAGTCAGGGACCAAAGGATCCCTAATAATTCCTTAGTTTTGCATTTCTGATTTAAGAAACTGACCTGTGGGCTGGAGAGATGGCTCAGTGGTTAAGAGCAACAGCTGCTCTTGCAGAAGACACAGCTTTGATTCCTAGCACCCACATGGCTGCTAACAACCATCTGTAACTCCAGTTCCAGGAGAATCCGACACTGCCTTTTGATTCTGTGGGCACTGCCTGACACAGGTGCACTTACATACATGCAGGAAATAGACTCATACACATAAAATAAAAATAATAAATAAAATATTTTAAAAAATAAAAACAACAGCAAGAACATTCAGCTAGCAATTTGGTAAACATTAATATGTGTTCACACTTCCTTGTCAGTCTTTATCTCATTTAATTCTCTGAATTATCCAGTTAGATAGAGTTTATACCTTTTTATAGGCAAGATGTAGTGATGTTAGATATTATCTAAAGGGGCAGAGATGGAGCTTCTGTGTTCTTTTCAGCTGCTAGCCCGGTGTCTGCTCCTTTTATGGACTATTCTCTGTTGGCTTACAGCCCAGAGTTCAAACCTTAGCTCTATTGCCAGTCTTTACCAGGTCTTTGTTCACTCCTTGATGCCTGGGCTCTAGATCTTCAATGCTTTAAAACCTGTCACCTGGAACTCACTATGTAGACCAGGCTGGCCTTGAACTCACAGAGATCCACCTGACTCTGCCTCCCGAGTGCTGGGATTAAAGGCATGTGCCACCATGCCCGGCTGATATTGGTCTTCTTATGGACTGTTATCATCCATATTTGAACTTACTTAATTTAATTGGTTAATTTGTTTATAGACAGAATCTTGTTGGCAGACTGGCCTTCAACTCATAATCTTCTAGCCTTAGCTTCCTGAGTGCTGGATTTACAGGTGTGCTGCCATGCCTGGCCCAGGTTGGCTTGGAATTTGGGATTCTCCTGCCTCTGCTAGGATCACAGATGTGTTACCATCATACCTGACATAGCATTACACTCCCCGTTTTCTACTTTCAATGAAGTATTCTATTTTCAGTCAAGTACTTCCCATTCCTCCTGTATGTTACAGTCAGCTGGAATGCTTTTAGGATTTTTGTTTTGTTTGTTATTAAATCTCATTCCTCAGCTTCCCTTCAGTGATTATGATATAATCTCTGGGATGCTGGCATTCAGCCAAGGTTGAGACCCTGCTGTAGGCTCTGATGAATCACAAAAAAATTTTGAGCAGAAGTGACATGACATGGGATTAAAA